CACCAATGAGCTGCCCAAAGAGGGTTCTGACCGACTCTCCATCCTTGTCTACTACCAACAACACCCCCAAACAAAATGGCAAAATTAGCATATAGTACTCTTTACACTTCAGATGTAGCTTCTCTACTTCAATTCAATTTTATTGACACCCAATTTCTTGGGACAACTTTGTATACACACTCAACTCTCATTTTGTTACAACACACATATTGTACAATTCAAAAATATATAAGAAATAAAAACAGTCTAACTTTTTAAAGAAAAAACTCAAAAAAGGGATTGCATTATTTATCTGCTTATTGCTTTCACTCTCTTATCTTTTTGTATTTCGTTATCGATCCATACATAACCTAATCATGCTTGAGGAGCACAAGATTTGAGCAGATCTCAGGCATACATTAACTAGATAAAAGGGCATCATGTTGCTTAATGAATTACTATCACGTTGCATGGCCAAAAGGAAGATGTATGCGATTGGCATCATGATTCATGTTAAAATGGGTGCAGAGTTAGCCCTACATTAGGATGTGCAGTAGATTCCCTTCCCACAAGTACCTGGAGTGCCACACCCCTCTGTATCAGAAGACCACACAAGGTCGTCATGGAGTGAACACCGATTTCACTTGGTGAGATAGGACACGGCCTGCAGCTTGAAGATGTGCAATGGACTGGAAGTAGGAAAATCAGGACTACAAATGCAGCACTCTTTGAGATGTGGTGGTGGTGGGTCATCAACCAGGAAGACCAGCAGTGGCGGCAAGTTATTAAACACGAATATGACCTAGATAGTTTGGGATGGCTCCCCTGGGCCTAACCAGGGCAAACTCCTATTGGCCTGGAAGGCTAAAGGATCAATTTACTAGAGATTTTTCTGAAAGTATTCACTTTACTGCAAAAGAAAAAAAGAGACTGGATAAATTAGGAAGTAAAAAGATCTCTAGCTTGGGGCTGAAACCTCGGCATCTATCTTCCCAAGGCGATTTAGTACTCCCACCCTAGACATCTCCCTCTACCTCCTTTTTAGTTAACTCCTACCAAGCTCAGTCACCACCCAAACCTGTCAACTCTCGTCAACATGGCTTCCCCTATAAGACAAAGTCTGCACAGGGGACCAACTACAAGGCAAGGGCATACAGCTGCGCAATAATGTTCAAGGTGCAAGGATGCTCAGGAATCACTTGATAAACTCTTCCGCCATGCCCCAGTGGCAGATCATTTATGGGCCCCCAGTTTACTATTGTTTTGGTGGATGTTGGTGACACCCCAAATCTATTCAGCAAATATTACACTGTACTTGAGGCCCATCCCATTCCCTCCTAGGGCCTATTTCCTAGGAGGGCCTCCCTGAACTCTAATCTTTGGATAATTCTGTTAGAGCAGAATGAAAACTTCAAAAATGCTCCACAAGAGCGAGGGTTGAGGGTCACATAAACTCCTCAGTCATCTTTTGGGCCCAAACTAGAAAAGACTACTTGGCTTGGTTTGCAAGGGACTTCCCTATGAATTGTACTGTGATCAGTCGAACAAAGCCGATGACCATCAAAAGACCTAGCCTTTGGCTGGAGTAATAAAAACTCGACACTGATGGTTGTTCAGTTGGTAACCCCGATCTACTGGAGGCCTTTTCCGAGACAGCTCATCTCGGATAAGGGGCTCCTTTTCAAGGTCTGCAGGGATGGCTGACTCGACGACGGCCTGGCCATGCTGGAAGGATGGAAAATACTTAATCTCAATTAGGGACCCAATCTCCTTGAGAAATTTGATTCCTAGAATGTTATTAAATGGGCCTAAAAACTTTCTCGTGCCAAGCAACTCGAGGCTGCCATTTAACAAATCCTTGACATCACCATCCCTCTACATGTGGTACTCCAGCACACTTTGAGAGAATGAAATACTACAGCACAATCCCTAGCTAAAGAAAGAGAGCTATCACAACTCAAGGCTAGGTCTAAAATTTCGGCCACAATGTAAATCAGACACCACCTGTCCCCACCCACCCACCCACCACCCCACTCTTCCCCCAATATGGTGCCCCTCATCTCTTCACAAGAGCAAGGGGGTCGCACAAACTCCTCAGTCATCTTTTGGGCCCAAACTAGAAAAGACTACTTGGCTTGGTCTGCAAGGGACTCCCCTATGAATTGTACTATGATCAGTCGATCAAGGCCGATGATCATCAAAAGACCTAGCCTTTGGCTGGAGTAATAAAAACTCGACACTGATGGTTGTTCAGTTGGTAACCCCGGTCTACTAGAGGCCTTTTCCGAGACAACTCATCTCGGATAAGGGGCTCCTTTTCAAGGTCTGCAGGGATGGCTGACTCGACGACGGCCAGGCCATGCTGGAAGGATGGAAAATAGTCTATCTCGATTAGGGGCCCAATCTCCTTGAGGAATTTGACTCCTAGAAAGTTATTAAATGGGCCTAAAAACTTTCTCGTGCCAAGCAACTCGAGGCTGCCTTTTAACAAATCCTTGACATCATCATCCCTCTACATGTGGTACTCCAGCACACTTTTAGAGAATGAAATACTACAGCACAATCCCTAGCCAAAGAAAGAGAGCTATCACAGCTCAGAGCTAGGTCTAAAATTTCGGCCACGTTGTAAATCATACACCACCTGTCCCCACCAACCCACCCACCACCCCACTCTTCCCCCAATATGGTGCCCCTCATCTCTTCACAAGAGCAAGGGGGTCGCACAAACTCCTCAGTCATCTTTAGGGCCCAAACTAGAAAAGACTACTTGGCTTGGTCTGCAAGGGACTCCCCTATGAATTGTACTATGATCAGTCGATCAAGGCCGATGAGCATCAAAAGACCTAGCCTTTGGCTGGAGTAATAAAAACTCGACACTGATGGTTGTTAAGTTAGTAACCCCGGTCTACTGGAGGCCTTTTCCGAGACAGCTCATCTCGGATAAGGGGCTCCATTTCAAGGTCTGCAAGGATGGCTGACTCGACGACGGCCTGGCCATGCTGGAAGGATGTAAAATAGTCAATCTCAATTAGGGGCCCAATCTCCTTGAGGAATTTGACTCCTAGAATGTTATTAAATGGGCCTAAAAACTTTCTCGTGCCAAGCAACTCGAGGCCGCCTTTTAACAAATCCTTGACATCATCATCCCTCTACATGTGGTACTCCAGCACACTTTGAGAGAATGAAATACTACAGCACAATCCCTAGCTAAAGAAAGAGAGTTATCACAGCTCAGAGCTAGGTCTAAAATTTCAGCCACGTTGTAAATCAGACACCACCTGTCCCCACCCACCCACCCACCACCCCACTCTTCCCCCAATATGGTGCCCCTCATCTCTTCACAAGAGCAAGGGGGTCGCACAAACTCCTCAGTCATCTTTTGGGCCCAAACTAGAAAAGACTACTTGGCTTGGTCTGCAAGGGACTCCCCTATGAATTGTACTATGATCAGTCGATCAAGGCCGATGATCATCAAAAGACCTAGCCTTTGGCTGGAGTAATAAAAACTCGACACTGATGGTTGTTCAGTTGGTAACCCCGGTCTACTGGAGGCCTTTTCCGAGACAGCTCATCTCGGATAAAAGGCTCCTTTTCAAGGTCTGCAAGGATGGCTGACTCGACGACGGCCTGGCCATGCTGGAAGGATGGAAAATAGTCTATCTCAATTAGGGGCCCAATCTCCTTGAGGAATTTGACTCCTAGAATGTTATTAAATGGGCCTAAAAACTTTCTCGTGCCAAGCAACTCGAGGCTGCCTTTTAACAAATCCTTGACATCATCATCCCTCTACATGTGGTACTCCAGCACACTTTGAGAGAATGAAATACTACAGCACAATCCCTAGCTAAAGAAAGAGAGCTATCACAGCTCAGGGCTAGGTCTAAAATTTCGGCCACGTTGTAAATCAGACACCACCTGTCCCCGCCCACCCACCCACCTCCCCACTCTTCCCTCAATATGGTGCCCCTCATCTCTTCACAAGAGCAAGGGGGTCGCACAAACTCCTCAATCATCTTTTGGGCCCAAACTTGAAAAGACTACTGGGCTTGGTCTGCAAGGGACTCCATTATGAATTGTACTATGAACAGTCGATCAAGGCCGATGACCATCAAAAGACCTAGCCTTTGGCTGGAGTAATAAAAACTCGACACTAATGGTTGTTCAGTTAGTAACCCCGGTCTACTGGAGGCCTTTTCCGAGACAGATTATCTCGGATAAGGGGCTCCTTTTCAAGGTCTGTAGGGATGGCTGACTCGACGACGGCCTGGCCATGCTGGAAGGATGGAAAATAGTCAATCTCAATTAGGGGCCTAATCTCCTTGAGGAATTTGACTCCTAAAATGCTATAAAATGGGGCCTTAAAACTTTCTCGTGCCAAGCAACTCGAGGCTTCCTTTTAAAAAATCCTTGACATCATCATACCTCTACATGTGGTACTCCAGCACACTTTGAGAGAATGAAATACTACAGCACAATCCCTAGCTAAAGAAAGTGAGCTATCACAGCTTAGGGCTAGGTCTAAAATTTCGGCCACGTTGCAAATCAGACACCACCTGTCCCCACCCACCCACCCCACTCTCTCCCAATATGGCGCCCCTCATCTCTTCACTGATAGGTCACATGTTTTGTACAAAACATTTTCATAAAGAGTACTGTGAGTCATATTCCATAAGGGCACAATATATGTCACTTGTATATTTCTTACATGCCAAATAGAATTTTGCAAATTACCTTAAAAAGAAAAAGAAAAAAATAGAAAAGAGAGGTATAATGTTCCTCTTGTGTAAATTGCCGATATTAGCTGCAAAGAAAATTAGAAATTACTCAGTTTTTTACCTACCAATACTGTCAAGACTCAAGAGTATCCCTTTCTGGAAAAGAGATGCTAAGCAGTATAGATGCATCCCAAGGTTCAGACATAAAAGGTACAAAATCACGACAAAAAAAACCCATAACCAGAAAAGGGGTCACTTGTAAATAACATAAAAGGATACCCCATAACCAGAAGTAAAGATACAAAATCACCACAAAAAAAAACTCCAAATTGAATAAAAAAGGATACCCCATAACCTGAAAACGGGTAACTTGTAAATAACATAAAAGGTACACCTGGGAATGATGATTCACATCAGTGTTTATAAACTGGCAATTGTCTTGTACTCTCTCAATGTTCCCCTTTCAAAACATTTATATCAATATGTATCATCAGTACTTACCTCATTATTGCTAACAAGACGAGATAGTGATACATCTCTCTTTCGAATCCAAAATGACAAATCAAATGACAAACTTTGATGCCTGTAATGTGGAATCTTTTCCAACCGCTTCATTGGCCATCCCTGTATCAAGGAATACAATTAAGAAAGCAAGCTCCAAAGTGAAGTGCAGCAAATAGCTTAGACGTTTCGATGCCATCAGTCCTTGGTAAACAAATACATTGATGAATAGCACGCAAATAGAGTGAAATGCTAGATTTGAATGGAATGAAATTTCAAGAATGATAACTCTAGAATCAGCACCTAAATGAAGAAATGGGAACGGCTACGGGCAGAGGCAAGCTCCCCCACTTTCCCACCCTTCTCCTATTGAGCCTCCCCCCCTCTACTGCAAGCACATCCACCTCCTCAAGCCGCAGCCCTCGTCCTCCTCTGGGGTGCCCTCTCAGATCGCCCACCCATCGGCACAAGGTGTATGCATGTATGATCCTCTTTGTGCATAACATTATAACCATACTGCACATGGTTGATGATAGTGTCCTGATATTATGCATGCATGTATGGTCATTAAATGAAACCACTGTGTATATTGTTGCATGCTTAGCCATTATTCAACAAATAATGCATTTCATAAAGGAAGCTGAATGTGTGTGTGTGAGTGAGAGAGAGAAAGAGAGAGATGCTTGCAAGCTTATTTAGACATTTACTATACACTTAACATCATCCCCCCATTTTCTGGTGCTAGGTGCAAGTTTTAAGTTTTTAGGGCCCTTTTTCAAGGATCGTCCTAAACCACTATGGTTAGGATATCTAAACAATTTCAAAGGAAAAAGGTTGATTTTGAACACATCTAACCGTAGATCTAACATGCACAAAAACAGACAAATAACAAAGCGATGGTTAGCTTTATCCATAAGATCTGTACCATTTTTTTAGCTACAAATTTTATAATCAATGATGGATATTGATTTTAGAGCCACATAGAGATTTCCCATACCCAAAGCATTTTCCGGACAAGGTTTCAAAGGTGAGGCTTTACTTTCTTTAACAAGGTCTAGGTCCTATAGAAACTGCATATATATACATATATATATATATATATATATATATATATATATATATATATATATATATATCTACTACGTACGTAATAAGTAGTAGTTAGGTTAGTACTA